GAGCGATACAAAAATCACTTTGGACTGCCACTATATGCAATGAACAACCTGGACTTTGCACCCACTTCCCCAACAAGGAAGAGAAGGAGTACATTTTCTCACCTCTTCATCAGGGATAAGCTCTAACAAGCATTTATTAAGCCCCTAATATCTTCAGGGCAGTGTGCCAGGATCTGAGGATACACAGACAAAAATTCAGGGAGCTCACATCCCTACTGAGAGCATACAACATGCCACTAGATAAGTAAGTATAAGATAATTTGAGAAAAGAGAGAGCACTAATCACTAGAAGGATAAGGAAAGGCTTCACTTGGGAAGAGATACCAGAGCCTGCAAGGAAGTTAGAGACTCGATGAGGCAGAGATGAGAAGGGAGGGCATTCTGAACATGGGGGACAGCCTGGGCAAAGGCATACAGGCAGGAATGGAATGCTTATTTGGAGAAACAACAGGTAGGCTAGTTTCACTATACTATGGGGAAAGGGAACAATTCAGGGGTTTGCAGGAACCACTTTCTACCAGTTCAGAGAGCCGATGGTTAAATAGACATTTACTGCTTCAGAAATCAACAAACACTACAAATCAGGGCTTGATCGTTTCTTAAGTTTATTGTCTGAACTTTAAAAAGTGATAGAGAAAATGTTAATATGGATCAAACTAAAAGTGTATCAGGTGTACATGGGAGGAGGAGGAAGCTGATTGTTAAACATTCACTATCACAGTTCTCAATACTCTAAAATAAGTTGGAAAAGGGAGTCTATGAAAGGTTTTGAATACCAACTGAATAACTTCCCATGTTATCTTATTTTCTTCTGTTAACTTTGAGTGTTTAATGTCTATCAACAAATATTTCTAATTTCACGTCAGAGTTCCATTTGGAAGTGATTTTTATTTAGAGGTTCTATTTGGGGATAGGTCTCAAGACCACCTACCAAAGCACAAAAGATACTAAGATCGTGGCTCTAGAGATAGGACAGACTTCTGAAGATACCTAGTTCAATCCCCTCATTTTTGCTGTTGTCCAGTCATTATTCAATTGCATCTGACTCCTCACGACCCCATTTGGGGTTTTCTTGGCAAAGAGACTAGAGTGGTTTCCCATTTCATGCTCCAGCTTATTTTACAGATGAGGAAACTGAGGCAAACAGGGTTTAAGTGACTTGCCCAGGGTAACATAGCTAGTAAGTGTCTAAAGCTAGATTTGAACTCAGAAGGTTGAGTCTTCCTGACTCCAAGCCGGGCACTCTACTTCACCACCTAGCTGCGCATTTTACCAGTAAGGAAATTGAAGTTCATAGAAGCTAAATTACTTCCTCAAAGTCAAACAGGAATTGTGGTGTAGTAAAGAGACAGCATAGTCCAGGGGATAGAGCACTGACCTTGAAATCACATAGACCTGGGTTCAAATCCTACCTCCAATACACATTAGCTGTGTGACATTAGGTAAGTCACTTAACCACTCTAGGACTCAGTTTCCTCATCTGCAAAATGAGAAGCCTGTACTCCAGATGATTTCTAATCTCTGATCCTGCAGCTTGCGTGGCAAGGGGGGAGGTTTGGAAGGGGGAGAACCACATCAATGAAATGACATGTCTTTGAAATATCAAAGTAAGTTCTGTTCTAATATGACCCGCTGCTCTTCCAGATAACTTGAAGGAACACAGCCACGAGGAGGCAGGGCACAGTCTAAAAACAGATGTGGCCAGCCCCAGGATGTTGAGAAAACCACACCATGAACATTGCAAGCTCTGCTGAGACTCAGTTCTCACCTACCAACTAACCCAGGGAATCTGGACTCAGGCTTACCTGGTAAACAATTTCTGGGCCACACCTTTCTGGAAACCTCCCATCTCCACTCCCTGTAGTGTTTCCCCAGACTGCCTTCATTTGGCAAATACTGCAGCTTTGAGCTTGATGTTCATGGCACCACCTGGTCACCAGGCATCCACCTCTATTAGCAGAGCCTGGTCTGGCCTATAATAGTATCACCTATCTTCTGTCACTTACACAGATCTACAGGTGGCATTTCTAAATTTCCAGAGATTCATATAATTCATAGATTAATAGCAACTTAGAGCTGGAAAGGACTTCAGAGGGCATCTTAATTCAACACTCCAGCCTCATTTTGCAAATGAGGAGAGTGAATCCCAAAGAGTAAAATCGTTTTCCTGGAGTCCCATAAATAGTTGGTAGCAGGTCTCGAGGGGTCCTTTGGAGTGTTGGAATCAAGAGAGACCTTGGTTTAAATCCTGACTCTGATGCTAACCATCTTTGTAACAAGGACAAGGCAAATAACCCCTCTTAGCCTTAGTCTCCTCATCTGTAAAATGGGAATAAAAGTATCTGTACACAACACTTTACAAGATTGTTTTAAGGATCAAATGAATATATATACACATATATGTGTATATATAAAATGCTTTGTAAACTTTTACATGATATATGTGTGCATATATATGTGCATGTGTATGATCTGTTGCCTGTGTGTATGTTAGCTATTATTATTAATTTCAATTCAACAAGGATTAATTAAGGGCCTATTATGTACCAGGCACTGGGCTAGGCTCTAGGAACTCAAAGACAAAATATGAAACAGACCTAGCTTTCAAGGATCTTATGTTATATTGGGGGAAACTAGCAAAAATTAAATACAAGTACATGTAAGGTAGCAATATCCCAGGCAGGGAAAGGCACTAGCAACCAAGAAAATTTGGAGAGGTTTCTTACAGTGAGTAGCACTTGAGCTGAGCTTCGAAGAAAGTTAGAGATTCTAAGAGGAGGAAACAAGGATGGAGCCTGTGCAAAGGTGTGGAGATGGGAGATAAAATGTCATTCATGGGGAGAAGTCTGCTTGGATGAGCTATAAAATGGATGAAACAGTAATACACAATCAGTCTTGAAGGCTGGAGCCAGGTTGTGAAGAGGAGTTCACATTGCATCCTCCAGGCAAGAGTGAGCCAATAGAGTTTCTTAAGTAGGGAAATTAAATTGTTAGATCTAGGCTTTAGGAATATTAATTTGGTAGCTGTATGGATGATGAATTGAAAAGAGAATTGATGGGAGCCAGAGAAATCATTTAGATGGCCATTGTAACAGTCCAAGCAAGAGATGAAGAATGTTTGAATCAAGATAGTAGCCATATAAAAAGAGAAAAGAAGATGCACATTTATATATATCAATACATGTATGTACATATATTTCACATGTGTACACACAAATGTATATATACATGACATATGTGCACTGTGTATATGTACATGCACATGTATAAATGTGCAAAATATATACCTACTGTGGGAATGAAATTGGCATGGCTAGGCGACTGTTGGATATGAGAAGTGAGGGCAAAAGCAGAGTCAAGGATGACTCCAAAATTGCAAACCTGATGGTGGCATACTCAACAGAAATAGGCAACTTGGGAAGAGGACGGGGTTTTGGTAAAAAAAAAAAAAAAGAGTGAGTTCTGTCTTGGACATGTTGCGTTCAAAATGTCTAAAGGATATACAGGGGGAAATACTCAACGGGTAGCTGGTGCTATGGGATTATAGTTCAAGAGGGTAATGGGATCCATATGGGAAACAACATAGACAGCACCTATTCCCTTCAGCTGCCTTTGTCCCAGAAGCCCCAGAGAAGAGCAATCATATGAGACTACTAACTTCAGGTTAAAAAGAAAAATAAAAGAGCAAAGTACTCAGAATGGGTAAAATCTAGGAGAGTGGGTCGTTAAATGAACTGTGTATGCAAGAGGTTGGGAGCAAGGCTTTTAAATTTGACCAACCTGCCTGGAAACTTTTGGTAGTAGGGTAGTAGCTCCGGTCTTTCTCCTATGGAAAGTCACTAAGCAGTAGAGACTGAACACCATTAAATAAAAACATAATTTTGCTGAAGAAAGAGGACCAGCAACTACGACAATTATCAGAGAAATTCCTTGCTAGGTACAAATCTATCACAAAAAAGAGATACTTTTATAATGAAAATACAATCCTGAGACACATCGTTATTTCTGAAAAGAGGATACCAATACATTACCTCTACCGGGCCCAATGGACACAAGGCCATGAAGACTTCCCAACCTCCAGCAAAGAGAGAAAGGGACAATCAGTCATTCTTCTGCTTTCCTAAAGAAAGAAAAGAAATTGTCTTCTTCTCTGGTGTTCATTATTGGAAAGAAGAGTATTCTCCGTTGCTTACCAGGAAGAAGAAAAAGAAGGGGTATTTTCCAGGGAAAATTTCCCCTCCCTCCAGGGGCCTCTATTGTTCTTCCAGAAGGAGAGGAGAGGCTGGGAGGCAGCATCTGACCTTCTGCATTCCAAGCTCTGCCAGATCCAAAGGTCAATAGAGGTGCCCCTTTTTCAAAAGAAAAGTCAGTTTTGAATCAAGGGGGTCCTGCCCTGTTGGTACCAAAAAGCTGCTTCCTCAACACTGTTAGATGGTTTGAGTTAGTGTCCTTTTTCTTGTAAGCTACTCCTCTAACTGAACCTCTTTTAAGGGAGGAATGTTTTGAGGGGGAGGAGGGGAGAAGTTGTTCTTTCCTCTTCCCCCAATTACAAACAGCTAGAAGGTAATTAAATATCAATTGTAATTATGTTATTGTTAAAGAGGGCAGATTCCTAATTGATATTTCTCTATGAAATTGTTCACGTCTACCAGAACAGACATTAAATTAGAGAAATGACCATGTGACAAGGTGGAGGAGGGGATTGGTTCCTAAGAAATTGTAGTCAGAGAAAGGGAGTGCTGCCTTTTTAGATGACAACACCGAGCCTGCAGCCCTGCCCCACACTTGTGACTAGGACTGCTTTCCTAGAGCCCATCATGAAGACATCATATATTTATCCTGGTATTTGAGGTTTACAATCTTCATTTAGTTCAACGTAAGGAATCTTGTAGAAACTAGAATCTTCCCATCTTATTTTTGCCCTAGAGTTTGTAGTAAGGGAGTAAAGCTTTAACTTTTCCTCCTGGCATTACCAAGATAATACAGGTCCAATAAGAAAGTAGTTGCCTGTCTAACAGGTCTAACAGGAAAAGTATATTTCCCATACTTTACCACCATGTCTCAGCTGCTGTCTCATCCTGGAACTTCCCTCAGCATCTGAGACCTTCTCAACCTGTAACACCATCTTCTAATCAATCCTACTCACTCTGGAACATCCCTCTGCCATGCTAGTCCTCTCCTTCCATTGGTGAGATCCTCCAGGGACCTCCATTTTGAGGAAGAACCCTTTATTCCCCTCTTGGCCCTGCTCCTGACTCTGCAGACTTCAGCACCATGACCATACTATGTAAGTACCACCCCGCCCCACACACCTTTTCATCTCCTTTGTGTATTCTGTGTTCTGTTAGAATGTAAGCCCTTTGAAGTCAGGGTCTACCTGTCTTTTTTTATTGCATTTGTATCCCCAATGCCTGGCATAGTGCCTGGAACACAGTACGTGCTTGAAAAAAAAATTCTTCTTGCCTTGCTTTGCCTTGCCTTTTCCTTCTGGAGAGAGTCCAAAGCTCAAGGTTGCACTACAAGCCTGGTGGGGACTACACAGCACCCTGTAGGAGAGAAAAATTCACCTGAATGTCCATAATTAGCCCCACTGGCAACCCCAAGTTCAATTCCCCTCTGAGAGGAGTCCAAACCATGGAGTGGCACTGATTATGGAGAATTTAAAGACCCTGTGGAAAAGTAGAACCTACCAGACTGAGAGAAAAATTGTATTAATTACTTAGGGGCTGCTGAGAGACCCTTTATGTATTTTCTACATTTGTTAATCACTTACTGCAGTGTGTTGCACCTTCTGAATTTCCCTGTGAAGTGAAATCAGGTCTGTCCTGTGCCTGAGAGAGAGCTTGTAGTAGATTGAGATCTGACCTCGGATTCAGGAAGATCCCTGTTCAAGTCCAAACTCTAAAACCCACTAGCTGTGTGATTCCTCTCAGTGCCTCCAGGCAACTCTTCAAAACTATAAATTGCAGAGAAAGCTCAAATCTGTATTAGCAGAAGAAGTTTCTCAACAGAAGTTCCCTTCACTGATTAAATTATAAGTTTGATCCAAAAACAGAGTGGGGGAGACAGGGCATCGATCTTGTGTATTACCCTGGATGCTTATATAGGAGAGGGGAACCCTGTAACCCACATCTGTGCAAACTTAGACAGGTGCTTTACATAAGCTGTGTTTGATAATTTTCCTGGAATAAACTCTGGGCAAATGCAATAAGGAGTCAAAAAAATATTGCTCTTTTAAGGCAACTCCTGAGGGGATGGGGGAATTATACAAGTAAATAGAAAGTAATTTGAGAAGGGAGAGCACATTAACAACTGGAGGGATGAAGAAGTAGCACCTGAGCTGAGCCCAGAAGGAAGTTAGGGATTTGGAGAAGCAGAGGGGAGGAAAGAGTGAACCAGGCATGGGAGACTGTGCAAAGGGACAGAGACAGGAAATGGTAGGTGGAGTCAAGGGAATGGCTAGTAATCCAAGTACAAGAAGGTAGGTAAGAGAAGTCTGGAAAAGGTAGATGAAGCCAAGTTGTGGAGGGCTTTAAATGCTAGGCTGAATTTCTATTTTATCTTAGAGACAACAGAGACACATTGAAAGTTTTTAAGTAAAGGAGTAACATAGCCAGGCCTGTCCTTGCAGTATTGGACACCTAGTTACTCAGCAAAGAATTAGCTGACTGACTCATAATGAGACTGGGAATAAGGCTAATTACTATAGCAACAATGATGACAAAACTAGAATATACCCATAAGGATTCATGTATCTATGTAAAGGCCAAAACCACTACTTTAGGATAGGGTAGAGGAATGGAAAAATCGTGTCAGAGTCAAAGATTTTTACCTTTTCCCTCTCCTTTAAAAAAAAATAAACCCTACAGTCCCTATCAACTGTCTACCCCTGATCTATACAATGTCAAATATCTGGACAAAAGTTGAAAACTTAGCTAGGGGTTTCTAAATAAACTGGCTATTTTAATGGCAGAAACTGTCTATAATGACGGAGCTTGGAGATAGGCTTGGGGTTCCGAAGGCGATAGGATGAACAGCAGTGTGGCGTGGTGGTGAAGGCACTGAATTTGGAGTTCAGACTTCAACTCTGACTTATTGACTACATGACTTTGGACAAGGCATTTTACTCTGTTGGGCCTTATTTTCTTCATCTACAAAATGAAAGGATTAGACCAGATGATCTCAAAAGTCCCTTCCAGCTCTAACAGACTAAATGATATACAATGTCCTATCTGACTCCATCCTATAAGAGAAAGGGAACTCTCTGCTGAAATATCCTAGCCCCTATATGGAGCCCTAGCTCCCCTATTAAACCCAAAAATAGAAGAGAATTTTTTTTCTTTTAAAAGAATATGTTCCCAGCTCCTGTCTTTGCACCCTCCCACCCCCATAATGGGTTATCTAGTCATTAAACATTTACTAAATGCTTATTATTCACCAGGCACTGTACTAAACATTGTAAGGATCCAAAGAAAAGCAGAAACAGTCCTGCCCTCAAGAAGCTAACGGTCAAAGCTTATAGTACATGAAAGATATAGAGAGAGTAGATGAAAGGTACCCTCAGAGAAGAAGGCACTAGCAGCTTCGAAGATTTGGAAAGGCCTCCTATACAAGGTGGGATTTGCCCTGAGTCTTAAAAAGAGCTCTGGAAACTCAAAAACAAAAGTGAAGAGAGAGAGAATTCTAGGCATAGGGGCCAGTCAGTGAAAAGGCATAAAGACCAAAGATGGCTTTATCTGTGCCAGGAACCACAAGTTAGACCAATATATAGCCAGACCAGATAGCGTGTGAGTAAAATGTAAGAGACCAGAAAAGAAAGAAGTGCCATATTATGAAAAGCTTTAGATACCAAACAAAAGACCTTACATCTGATCTCAGGGGCAATAGGGAGTCACTGGAGTTTACTTAGTAGGGGATTGACATGGTCAGACCAACACTTTAGGAAAATAGTTTTGACAGCTGAGTGAAGGATGGATTGGAATAGGGATAAACCTGGGGCAGGAAGCCAGTGAGAAGGTTACTATAATAGTCCAGGGGAGAGGTGTTGAGGGCCTGAACTCAGGTAGTGATTGTGGATTAACCCTGCCCCTAGGCCCTATAACCAAAGTAGGTCTGGAATCCTACCATGACTTTCCTCTAAGACATTAGGGATAATGATGACTTTGGGGTTGATAACACTGACTCTGGGAAGATCCTAGAAACTGAACTTTGTTGTGTCTCTCTAGGAGGCTATCATGTCTCTGCTGATAGGGAGGTGAGCACAGCTAGCTGTCAAGTGATTGGAAACAGGAGGCTGTAAAGCCCCTCAATCCAACCCTGCTCTGGTAACTTCCCAGTGCCCATTGGAATCCCTCAGGGAGAAGAAGGAAATCCCCTTCTAGCTTCACATTCCTTGTACCAGTCTTTTCCTCATACTAAATCTAGGGAGGACAGCTAGGTGTAGCAGTAGATAGTGCTCTGGACCTGGAGTCAGGAAGATCTCAAGTCACTTCACCGCTATTTGCCTCAGTTTCCTCAACTGCAAAATGCGGATAATAACAGCATAGCACCTAGCTTGTAAAGTTGTTGTGAGGATTAAAAGTGATAATAGTAGGTGCTAAATAAATTCTTATTCCCTCTCTGTTTACACACACACACACACACACACACACACACGACACTGAGGTTCAGCCCCCACCCCAAAGTCATCAAAACAATACCTCCCTTCTCATTCTTATCCAAGATGTACACAGTTCTCATAATTCTTTTCACAACATTGAGCTTCGGGTTGGGGTGGGGAAGAGTAGAAGGAGAGAGGAATTAAATGCAAAGATTCCATTTCCCTGATAGCAGTGCCTGGCTTTTCCAATAGCAGTGGCCTAGTGCCTGTACACTCTGTGCATGTGTGTTTGAACCGTGGGAATGGAAAAGAACCGGTCAGCCCTTGTGGGCCAGCTCCCAGGCATCTGGCTCTGACTTCAGCAGCTGATGTCTTTTCTAATCCATCTTCTAAAAATCCACCCTCATGTTCCTGTATCCTTCTCACCCAACCTCTTTTCCACCTCCTGACCTCCTCCCTCACCCATTCCCACACTATAGCACTATAGGATTTACCAACAGGAAGAGTCTTGGCATGAATTCTTAATCTGAGGCCCGTTAACTTATTTTTATTATATGTTGATAACATTTCAACATCATTGTTTTCCTCTGTAATTTTTTTGCAGATATTTTTATCTTAGGCATTTAAAAATTGTAGTTATTTTATTTTAGGTATTTAAAAATCTTATTCTGAGAATGGTTCTGAGAATAGGCTTTTACCAGACTGTTGCCAAAGGGGTTTATGACACAAAAAGGATAAGGATACTAGGGCAGGTGATGATGAAAAGGACATTTTGGGTGGGGAGTAGGTTGTGACCTCCCCGATGGTAGCCAATCAGATTGTATAATAATAATAATCTATATTCCAAAAAGCATTTTACAAATATTACCTCACAACAACCCTGAGAGGTAGGTACTATTATTATCCCCATTTTACAATGAAGGAAACTGAGGCGAGCAAGCATAAATAGTAAGTTTTTGAGGCCAGATTTCAACTCAGGTCTTCCTGACTCCAGGCCCCGTGCTCTCTTCACTGAGCCCTGAAGTTCCCATGATGAGGCTGCTAGTCTTGGGGAGGGGTATTCATGAGAATCTATTACCTCCTTGGATTGTAAATTCCTTGAGAACCTTGACTTTCTTTGTAGCCCTAAAGTTTAGCACTGTGCCTGACACATGATAGCTCCTCAATAAATGTTTGCTGACTGACTAACTATTCTTACTTAGGCCATGGTTAATGTAAGAGGATCATACTCCAGAAGAATTGAATGCAAAGTCTCCATTAGCCACTAGGCAGAGGTACCACTAGGCTGAGGCACCAGCAGCTAGTGTAGTGACCTTCACCAGCCAGTCCCTCTCCTTTACCTGCCTTGGGCATATTGCTTTGGGGTTACCTGCCTTCTCAAGAAGAGAACAGGGCTCCCCATGCTCTATTCTATCCCTACCTCACATTCCTGAAAAACAATTCAGTTTGGGGCTTCAGCCTAAGGGGGTCCTTCTCAGCAGGGGAAGAGGAGGTAAAAAAGCTCCCCCGAGTACTGACATGAAGGAGACATGGAATAGGTAGCCTTATGCCCACACAAGAAAGGGAACACCAAGCAAAAAAGCATTGTAGAATACTGGGTCAGCTGAGACACTAGTATTCTAACCTCAATGAGATACTTACAACAAGGCTACTAATTAATTAAGTGGTGCAGTGGATGGAGTGCTGGG